AATGAAATTCTGGAAACTACACAAACACATGGAAATTAAACGACATTCTACTTAATGACATATGGGTCCAAGAAAAATTAAACAGGAAATTAAAAAAATTGTTGGAAATAATGAAAATAATGAAACATCATACCAAAACCTGTGGGATACAGCAAAAGAGGTATTAAGGGGGAAATTTATCACATTAAATGCTTACTTCAGAAGAATGGAAAGATGGCAAATAAACAACCTAATACTTTACCTTAAAGGTCTAGAAAAACAAGAACAATCCAAACCCAAAGTAAGTAGATGGAAAGCAATAATTAAGATCATAGCAGAACTAAATGAAATAGAAACCCAAAAAACAATACAAAAGATCAATGAAACAAAAATTGTTTTTTTGAAAAGATAAATAAAATCAATGAACCTTTAGCAAGGACAACTAAGAAAAAAAGAGAGAAGACCCAAATAACAAAAATTAGAAATGAAAAAGGTGATATTACAACTGACATCTCAGATACAAGAAATCATTAGAGACTACTATAAACAACTATATGCCAACAAATTTGAGAATCTGGAGGAGATGGATAAATTTCTGGATACATACAAACTACAAAAACTGAGCCAAGAAGATATAGAAAATCTGAACAGACCAATAACAATAAAAGAGATTGAAGCTGTTAGCAGAAGGCTTCCAACAAAGAAAAGCCCAGGACCAGATGGGTTCACTGCAGAATTCTACCAAACCTTCAAAGAGGAACTGATACCAATTCTCTACAAACTGTTCCAAAAGATTGAAACAGAGGCTATTCTCCCAAACTCATTCTATGAGGCAAACATCACCCTGATACCAAAACCGGACAAAGAAACATTAAAAATAGAAAACTACAGGCGAATATCCTTGATGAATATAGATGCGAAAATCCTCAATAAAATACTAGCTAACAGAATACAGCAACACATAAAGAAAATTATACACCATGATCAAGTGGGATTCATTGCACGGATGCAAGGTTGGTTCAACATATGCAAATCAATAAATGTGATACACCACATCAATAAAAGCAAAGAAAAAAACCATATGATCATCTCTATAGATGCTGAATAAGCAGTTGACAAAATTCAACATTCTTTCATGATAAGACTCTCTACAAGTTAGGTATAGATGAAAAGTATCTCAACACAATTAAAGCCATATATGATAAGCCCACTGCTAATATCATTCTGAATGGGGAAAAGCTTTCAGGAACAGGAACTAGACAAGGATGCCCACTCTCACCACTCCTATTCAACACAGTGTTGGAAGTACTAGCCAGAGCAATCAGAGAAGAGAAGGAAATAAAGGGCATCCAGATTGGAAAAGATGAAGTCAAACTGTCCCTGTTTGCAGATGACATGATCCTATATATCGAAAAGCCTAAAGCCTCTACAAAAACCAAAACAAAACAAAACAAAAACTGGAGTTGATAAATGATTTCAGCAAAGTTGTAGGATACAAAATCAACACACAAAATCAGTAGCATTTCTATACTCCAGCAGTGAACATGCAGAAAAAGAAATCAAGAAAGCTACCCCATTTACAATAGCCACCAAAAAACAAAAACAAAAACAAAAACAAAAAACATAAGAATAAAGTTAACCAAGGATGTGAAAAATCTCTATGAAGAGAATTTCAAACCACTGTTGAGAGAAATTAAGGAGGACAGAAGAAGATGGAAAGATATCCCATGCTCTTGGATTGGAAGAATTAACACTGTGAAAATGTTCATATTACCCAAAGTGATATACACATTCAATGCAATCCCCACCAAAATTCCAATGACATTTTTTTCAGAAATGGAAAAAACTATCCAGACATTTATATGGATTAATAAAAGACCATGCATAGCCACAACAATCCTGAGCAAAAAAAATAAAGCTGGAGGCATAACACTACTTTACTTTAAAGTATATTACAAAGCTATAATAATCAAAACAGCATGGTACTGGCATAAAAACAGACACACAGATTAATGGAATAGAATAGAGAACCCAGAAATCAACCTGTACACCTACAATCATCTGATCTTTGACAAAGGCAGTGAGTCCACACACTGGGGAAGAGATTGCCTCTTCAACAAATGGTGCTGTGAAAACTGGATATTCATATGTAGGAGAATGAAACTAGACCCATACCTCTCACCATATACCAAAATTAACTCAAAATGGATTAAAGAATTAAATATACATCCTGAAACAATAAAACTTCTTAAAGAAAACATAGGGGAAATACCTACTCCAGGAAGTAGGAGTGGGTACAGACTTCATGAATAGGACCCCCAAAGCACAGGCAACTAAAGGTAAAATAGACAAATGGGATTATATCAAACTAAAAAGCTTCTGTACAGCAAAAGAAACAATCAACAGAGTGAAAAGACAACAAACAGAGTGGGAGAAAATATTTGCAAAATATACATCAGACAAATGATTAATATCCAGAATATACAAGGAGCTCAAACAACTTTACAGCAAAAAAACAAATAACCCAATTAAAAAATGGGCAAAGGAGCTGAATAGGCATTTCTAAAAGGAAGATATACAAATGGCCAACAGACACATGAAAAAATGCCCAACATCACTCAGCATCTGGGAAATGCAAATCAAGACCACACTGAGATACCATCTCACTCCAGTCAGGATGGCTAATATCCAAAAGACTGAGAATGATAAGTGCTGGCGAGGTTGCGGAGAAAAAGGAACTCTCATACACTGTTGGTGGGGCTGCAAAATGGTGCAGCCTCTATGGAAAATGGTATGGAGGTTCCTCAAACAATTATAGATAGATCTACCATATGACCCAGCAATCCCAGTGCTGGGAATATACCCAGAGGAATGGAATCATACCTGTACTGCAATGTTTATTGCAGCACTATTTACAATAGCCAAGAGTTGGAACCAGCCCAAATGTCTATCATCAGATGAGTAGATAAGGAAACTGTGGTAAATCTACACAATGGAATACTACTCTGCTATAAAAAAAGAACAAAATACTACCATTTGCAACAACATGGATGGACTTAGAGAAAACTATATTAAGTTAAATAAGTCAGGCACAGAAAGAGAAATGCCACATGTTCTCACTTATTTGTGGGAGCTAAAAATAAATAAATAAACACACAAACAAACATAGGTTGCAGGGGGAAGAAGACACAACAATTACAACAATTCCTTGAACTTTTTAAGACAAGTGAACAGATATGATGTAGGGGGGGAAGGGAGAGAGGGAGGGGGGAAGTGGAATGGGTAAAGGGTCATGAAAATTGACTACACTGTATATTGAGAAGTTAAAATAAAAAAAAAGAAAAAAATGAATCAATAAGACAAATGGAAAAAGATGCATATAGAATATGCTCATTGTAGCATTGTTTATGATTGCAGAAAATCGGTTTTAAAAAGTGTAGTACAGTCATACAATGGAACATTATGAAGAAATTACAAATTATTGATATTTACCTATTTTTGTCACATGGAAAAATATCCATTATAAATTGTGAAGTGAAAAAGTAGGTTATAAAACAGTATGCCGAATATGATCCCCTACACATATGTTTATATATCTAGAAAGAGATTGGAAGGTGAATACAAAGTATCAGTAATAATTTTTTTCAGTCAATATAAAATGGATTTATTGTCTGTATTCAGTTATTCACACAACCCAGGTGAATGAAACATCACTTCATACAAGGCTCAGGTACCCTAAAATGCTACCTTAATTTCACACATACACTATGAAATGACAAATATTTAAAAATTACAGTATAAGGAAAAAATATTACAAAAAATAGAACTGTGATAGACCCTTGTATGAAAGTCCTTTATTTTTAAGGTTCTGCTTTAGGGAATAATACCATGCTACATATCAGAACCCCAGATAAACTGTTCCTTGATGTTATAGTGCTCAAGAAGATACTGGATGCACTCTAAAAATACCATGTCTGACAAGAATCGAAAGAGAGGAAAGGAAAGCCTTCAGCGATGTTTAGAAAGAGCCTGTGTGAGAGAAAGCATGGAGTAATCAATGATTCTATGCTGATTTCTGCTTGAATGGTGGCGTTAAGCAATTTATAGCACCGACAAGAGGACTGTAGAAGGGGGAAAAATGGGACCAGTCTCAGCTTTATATAAGGGATTTCCAAATAAGAGCAAACTCAGGCAGTTCTAGGGTACTGTTTCTAATGTCCTCCACCCTTCAACCCTTTACATGGACTCCCTGTCCTATGTCCATGTTTTTTCTCATTTCTTCATAAGAGTTTATCAGGCATACTCTCTGTTGTCACCCAAATTTCAAACCAAAGACATTAAGCAAAACATTAGAATCTACCAATCTAGTGAGCTATAAAGACACATGTTCTGTTTTAGACGTTAATCACGAGATTCAGGCATATGCATCCCTCTTTCCCACACATTCCCATCTCCTCTTACAAAGTGACCTCAGCCTCAATTTTTAGGAAATAAGAAATTTTAGTATTTTTTCCTCCTAATTAATGGGTTTGCCTGTTGGCAGGCTGCTTTGGTTGGCAGCCATATGAGAAATTGTTTGGAATGCCTGGTCAAAACTGATAAAAAGGATATGATCAGTGAATTATTGCAACCTATTGTAGCCAGCTTCTGCGGGCAGACAAGAGGATTTACCCTATGGACTTCCCCACTCATTTCAGAAGGAGGAAAAATGTGTCTTAGGAAGGAAGGGAGCTTCTGCCCGCTGCTCTCGGGGCTGATGGCTATGTTGCATCCTGTATCCTCTGAGACCTTCACTGGCCTTGGGAGCTGTGGGCAGGACTCTGGGACACTCTGGCAGTTGGGAAATGTTCGTACCACATTTAGTTTCTCTATTTATCCCTGGACGGATATTTGGGTTGCTCCATCTCTCAGCTATTATGAATAATGCTGAAATGTATGGGTGTGCAAATATCTCTTCAAGATCCTGCTTTCAATTCTTTTGAATTGAATATATATATTATCAGAAATCAAGTCTGGAACATATGGACTCAGTGGCCTTTGAGGATGTGGCTGTGAACTTCACCTGGGAGGAGTATGCTTTGCTGGATCCTTTCCAGAAGAATCTCTACAGAGATGTGATGCAAGAAACCATAAGGAACCTGGTCTCTGTAGGAAAATGGGAAGACCAGACCATTGGAGATCAGTACAAAAATCCCCCCAAAATCTAAAGGGTCATACAGTAAAGAGAGACTGTCAAAAGAAAGAAGGTAGTCAATCTGGAGAAACCTCTAGCCAGATTCCAGATTGTATCCTGGACAAGAAAACTCTTGTAGTAAAACCATGTGAAAGCAGTGTGTGCGGAGGTCTTCACTGGTCATTCATCCCTTCACGGGCACATCAGAGCTCACAGTGGACACACACTGTATGACTATCATAAGGAGAGAAGCCCTTTAAAGTCCTGTTTCATAGAGGAAAGCACTTACTTGTCTTTCAGGCATTCAGGGATACCTGATAACACACACTGGACATGGACCTTATAAATGGAAGGTATGTGGGAAAGCCTTTGATATTCCCAGTTTATTTCAGAGACATGAAATAACTCAAACTGGAGTGAAACCCCATAAATGTAGGAAATGTGGTAAAGATTCCAGTTGTTCTAGTAGCCTTCAAGTACATGAAAGAACTCATACTGGAGAGAATGAGTGTAAATAATGCAGGAAAGCCTTCGGTTGCTAGCACCTGTAACAGACATGAAAAGACTCACACTGGAGAAAAACCCTATGACTGTAAAACATGGTAAAGCCTTCAATCATTTCAGCAACTTACAAAGACAGGAAAGAATTCATATTGTACAGAAACCCTAAGAATGCTAGGAATTTGGGAAAGTCTTCAATTTTCTTGGTTTCTTTCAAATACATGAACGGGATCACACTGGAGGAAAACCATATGTGTATAAAAAAATGTGGAAAAGCCTTCATGTGTTCTAATTCTCTTCAAAAGCAAGAAGGAACTCATACTGGAGAGAAATCCTTAATGGAGAAGGTGGGAAAGCTCTCACGATCACACAACCTTTCTACCGCATGCAAGAAGGCGTGCTGGAGAGGACCCCCAAGAATGTGGGTAAGTCTGCAGTCACCTCTACTCAGTTCAAGGCGATTAAAGAACACGCAGTGGAGAAAACCTCTTGCATGAAGCAGTGTGCAAAAGTCTCAGGTGGCCCACATGGAAGAATGGACACTAGATCAAAGGCCTGTAAATACGAAGTATACGAGAAAGTTTTCAGTTTTAACAAATACTTTCAAAGTCATGTGAAAACTGCTAATGTAGAGAAATCATAAAAATGTGAGTATATGAAGATCCTGATGCAAAGTGATTTGTGTATAATACTCTAGATATAATACACGATGTGATGGAAGTGTCTGAAATGTTATTAATACATTGTCTTTATCAGTGGCTCATTCTTAAAGTGGATCTCTGATTAATGGTCCATCAGTTTTGTTAACTGTTGCTAATTTCTTACTGGCATTATGTGACAGGTTCCAGATATCCCTGACCCTTTATATATATCCCACCTTTCTTTCTTATGGGAAAACTACTATTTTTGGCACGGTGAAGTTTATTCGTATTTCCTTGCTAAAAAAGGGTTGGCATCAATGTATAAGAGCGTGAAGTTTATCACAGAGTATTTTCTCACGGGAACTATCATTTTCATCTTTTGCCCTTTACTCTTTTGTCATTATTTCTGGCTGTTATTTTGGAAAACTGACTTGGAATGATGAAGAGAGACTTGTGATAGGACAATAAAATCTGGAGTTGGGAAAAAAAAGGAAGGGAAAAAATTAGGTAGGGAATACAGTAAAATATTAATACTGTAGTAGCAGCAGGGAATGCTTACAGCCAGCCTGTCTTGCTGGGAAGTTTCTGGCATAAAAATTAAACTTTCTCTCCCATTATTCTTTATGCGAGGTCAGCAGTTGCTTTGCATCAAGAGGGGCAGAAAGTTATTTATACTCTTTTCTTCCTAGATGGGAATTTCTTCTTGAGTGTAAGAGAAAGGTGGAAAAGGTAGGAAAAGCTCACTCTGAGAGGTCCTCAAACATGTGCTGTCCCACTGCTGTGTATGTCCCCTTCTCTTCTAGTGTCATCTGGGCTACCAGCTTCTGCTGCTGGCTTCCTTCACTGTGGGAGAATGGACAGCCAGCCACCATGACAACAGGGCCATCTACTTCCTCAAACTCGTTGTCCTTGCCCTCTTCTGATGACACACAGCCACAGCTGCTGGACAGGGTGGGGAGTCATCATCTGACTCACATTCACTGCCATTGGCCGTCATCACAGGAACAACTGAACCCGCCGTGGCACAGGGAGTTGTCTTCTCATAAATAAGCAGAGCTCGTGTGAGCTCCTCCTCCTCATCAGGCCCTGCACGACCTTCCTCACGCTTCATCTCTTCAGAACTACATGCCCCTTGGATAGTGCTCTCTCTCAACCAAAGGGGTCTCTTTTTGGCAGATTTCCCCTCCAGGGAGGCCCAATGAGGTGTGGGCCACATTAATGACAACATTCTCAATGTATAAGTCCTCATCGAAGGAAACTTTGGTGGTCCAGGTTTCCTGGTGGTGCCCACCTGCCAGGCCAGCAGCTCCAGCAGTAGTTGCTGCACGGTCCTTGCTCTGTTTCAGGGCTGGGATTTCTGTGGGTGCTGGTTCAAGTATTTCATAGGCCAAGTTCACATCCTCTGTGTCCCGAAGCAATGTATAAAATGGGCTCAATTTGTTCCTTAAACCTTGCCAACAGTGTGCATGCATCTTTTTTGGGGCATTGCTGATTCATCCCTCTTCTATCTACCTCTGCATGGCAAAAAGTACAGTGGAAAGTTCCAAAGCAAATCCTTGAACATCCCACTGCAGCTTCCCTCAGCGCCTCAACTACTGGCTTAAGCCATGTCACTTGTGCAACAAAGAAAATGCCTTACTCCTGTGACCAGCACTGGAAGCCACAAGCTACCTTTGGTATCAATAATAGTTTTTTTCTGCCTTGGGAATATGAGTGATATTTATATTTTTCTTTCTGCTTTTCTTTATTTTACAAACTTTTTGCTGCAAGAAGGAATACGTTTATTGCCAGAGAAATAATAAAGGTGTCATTATTATTTTAGAAAGAAAGGTAGCTGCTGAGAAGTGAGGCTAAGAACAGATTGTAAATACTGAGGCTGGCTCTTACCAGTGTCGCATTTCACTCCTCGCCAGCCAACGTCACATTCACAGGAGCCATCACCTGAGAGTCCTTGGTTGCATCGCCCATGGACACAAGAACATGCTAAGTGGAAAAACACAAGCAAATCATCAGACTCTGATCCATGTTCAATAACTCATTTATCATTTACTGGGTTTGCTTCATTGCACTTCATTCTCCAACCTGGTTCTATAAATTGTTGTCATTAATGGAAGGCTAGATTCACAGGAAGGGCAGAGCATAGGAGACAGAATCTAGCTGGTTAACAGGTGAGCCAGGTCATACTTTGATAAAGCAGCTCAGACCAGTTTTGGGACTGTGTAGCATCGCAGATCTGTGACCCAGGCCGTGTGAGAGTGTCCTCAGCCAAAGTTATTTGATGATCCAGCATTATGTGGGGCTTCTTGGGATGGAACCATGATTATTCCCTAAGAATAGATTTCAAAAAGAAGCCCATTTGAAACTGAGCTTACACAAGCATGGTGAGGCACTGCCTTCTTTAATAACATAGAAATGTTGATTCTTTTGTTATGCAGCAGGGTCATGAGTCTCTTTGAGAACTGGATGAAAACTATGGATGCTCACCCTGGAAAAAAGCATTCAGCTTTGGGAGTTTGCTGGACCCCATGAGGGTCATCCATGGATCCCAGGTTCAGAACTCCTGCCACAAATGCATGCACATAATTCTTGCAAAAAACATAGAAAAAATTTACAGTATAGTTCCAATTACATATTATATAGACCAATTATAGTGATTCAATTGTATATTCATTTTGTCTGGCTTGGATCAGGTGATAAGAATACAGTGATAGCCAGTTCAGGTTTATGGGTTTTAGTACTGGATAGAACAATGCTGTGTTTTCTCATCAGGGATTAGGAAACCCCTCCCTGCAACCCAACCCTCTCAGAGGTGTGTGTCCCTGGACACAAGGAAGTCAGGGTGTGAGAATGCAGATGACTTGGCTCAAACAGATCACTGTTTTTGCAAAAACATCTTAAAGCACATGGCTTGCTGATAGTGAATCAATAGAGCGATCTTCTCATAAAAGACAGCATAATTTAAGAGCAAGGCTTTGAAGTCAAGCAAAGCGTGTGTTAAAGTCTCAATTCTGTCTCTCCTTAGGTGTGACCTTGGGGGAAGTCATTCAACTTCCTTGCCTTAATATCCTCATCTGTAGAATAAGCATAGCAATAACCACGTATATAAGGTTCCTGGGTGGATTAAATGAGACAACATGTGCAGATCTGTTTTTCAAGCTATCGAACAAAAGCAATGTCCACAATTGGAAATGTAACTATGGGACTGGGATGCACATGCAAATACAGAGATGTGGTTGGGCTGGGAATTTCCGTGAACAGACTGGGGGTGGGAAGGTGGGTTCAGGTTAGTGACTGACAATGTTTGGAAAAACTGCCCTATGCAAATGATCCAACACAGATGTTCTTGTAGTTCACAATGACACTAGCAGGTGGAATTCCAGCCTGTCTGGGGAGGGAGGCTGGTTAGGGAGCACATGCTGTATGACTCTTTTCCTGCACATTCCTGGTTAGTTTCGGCTGCCCAGGAGCCTGACTGGGTGGGGAGGTGGGTGTGCACCTTGGTCACAGTGGATGCCGTACTTGTCCTCAGTGCAGGTCTCGCAGGCCGTCCCGCTGAAGCCCTTTTCACACTCACACACGCCTGTGCCATTAGCTCCATCCAGACAGATCCCATTGCCAAAGCAGACAGCCTGGGCTTTCCCTGGGCAGGGCTGGCACTGGGGTCCAAAGAAGCCAGCACAGCATTCTCTCGTCTGAAACAGAAGGACAAGGCTGGACATGTGCTCTGTCTTCTGGTTTTGTCCAGCCTCAGTGTAGGAATCCTGTTGCTGGGACTTGGTGTGAGCCTGTTTCTCTGGCCCCACATGGAGGGGTTGTGGATGATGGTGGGAGGGACCCCCTGAGGACTGGGTGAGGCTCAGCAATTTTCTGGGTGCTAGGAACAAGGACTGAGGCCTCCACCGAGGAAGCGGGAAAGAAGGAAAAGAAAAAGGCAAGTAAGAGAAGAGGATGAAGAAAAGTGAGTTAGAAGGAGGGCAGCAGGAACAAATGAAAGAAAAATGCATGTGATGCTTCCCCACACCAGGCCCCTTTGCATCAAATGTAATTTCATCTGCTACTGAAGGTGGGGAGGCCTGTGTGGGTGGGTGAGACCTTTGGCATTTTACAAATAAATCTCTGGTAGTTCAGGGAAGCCCTTGTAGGATGTCGGTTTGAGTTCAGCCTGCCTTTAATCTTGATTGTACTGAAACACAAAATCTCCTGCAGCCCCACGCTCTGCAGCTTAAGAGCCAGAACCCACCCACCTCTGCTAGACTAGGCAGAGGTTACATCTATTTCTCTGAGAAAGAAGCAGGACAGGAAATTATAAAGAATTTTCCTGCAAATTCCAAAGGAATGCCCAGAGGTGCTTAGCATTTGGGGCCTGTTTTCTACGTGACCAGGTGCACCTTCCCTTGCTAAGTGGCCAGTTTCTGCTGCTCATAAGCATGCTCACAGTGCTGCAACTATGCGGTGAGAACAGGGAGGTCGTCTTAGCCTATCTGTGCCTCAGTTTACCCATTTTCTGACTTTTGGGGCTGCTCTGAGTTTTATTGCTCCTACTACTAGTTTGAATGACACTGATTATGAAGATAATGAGGAGGAAGAGGAGATGGTAGAGATCATACACATAAAGGCATTTTGAAAAGTGTAACATATAATAGAATTTCCCAATGTTGCCATAACGAGAAGGATGATTAAATCATTATACTCACAATGACGGTTTTCACACATTTTGGTTGGCATCCAATGAACAGGGATCTCTTTCCCATGAAATAGAGGGTATAGATACATTTCTTCGTCTCATTACTCTATGGAATAGAAATGATTGTCAACTTTTTAGTTAGGAAAAAAATTTTCCAGTCTCTAAAAACAAGTAGGTGGGTGATGCATTGCTGTCTCTCTGATTAGAATATTCTGGAAAACAAGGGTGGTGGCTTCTTAGCACTGCTTCATAAGCAAGAAAACACAAAAATGCAACACTGGCTGCCAGAATGCCAAGTGGCAAAATCCAAATAATTATCCTTGGAAGTAGTACTCCATAAAAAGGATGTTTCTCTAGAAGACTAACTCAACTTCGGAAGGACTGTAGAATAAACCAGATAAAAATGTCCTTTTAGCATTGTACCTTGATTGATCTGAACCCTGGTTTCTATTTATTGATTGATTTATATTCTGCCTTGGTCTGAGAAAAGATTAAGGCTGCTCACAAGAGAATGTTAAAACTCAAGTGAGAGAATGAGCATTCATTAGTATTACCATAAATTATCATCGTGGAATGGAAGGTGCACAATTGTTTTTCTCTTTGTAATGGTCATCATTAAAAGTAACTCTTACAATAAATAGCTGCCAGAAACATAGATTGGCAATTAAGTCAAAGATGTATCTACTTCCCCCATGTCTGCCATGTGTTTCTTTGAGAAAGTTGGTTGGAACTTCAATCACGAAAGAAAATCAGGCAGGTAGAATGCATCCAGGCTAGACATGGTTTTGGAAATGGGATCTGTCTCCTCTGACAAGATTTCTTGCTGCTGTTCTCAACTGGCTACTGGGATATGAACGATGTAGAAAGTAAAAATCCCTTCCTGCATTGCGTGTTGATTAATATAAACCTCTTTCTATTTATTTACTAATTAAATTTTGTCTTGGTTTGAAAAAAGTGGATTTAAGATTTTACAAAGATGCATACAATATAACAAGGTAAAATTAAAACTAAGTGAAGGAATGAGGGTAGTGAAAATGGGGGATGCTTGAGATTCATTTTCTAATTTGGACTCCCTTGGATCTGGAAACGATTTTACTAAAGCAGATGAAATACTTACTAATGGTTTAGTTCCGAATGGGCAGATTGGCGTCTGGGGACACTTGCCACACTTTCCCTTGGTAAAACACAAAGCAAAGGGAACATTTCAAAGTTACTAATTTTAGTGCAAAACGAGGCTGCAAATATTTACAGGAACTTGGAACTACAAATTTAGAATATAGAACTGAAAGTCAGAGATGATCGTCTGGTCAATGCTCTTTGAGACAAACACTTCAGCTACTTTGGGTCTTGCATGTTTAAGCATTAGGTTTCTCTATAATACTCTTCTTACTCTAATAACCTTTTAAAGTGTGGATGTCTTTTCTCATTTAAATCCTCCTTCCTTTATCAATGACCCACATTTATTGAAAACCCACGATTTAGTAAATTGGGCCAGATTCAGAGATTAATGATGTACCACACACAGTGCCCAGCCTTGGGAGCTCATGGTCCAGCTGAGGGGTGCAGAGTGGAGATGCTCCCCAGAGATAACACATACTGTTACAAAACAAAGAGCAAAAGTTAAGGACAGAAACTCTTAAATGCAACCTTTTCCTAAAACAGTGTGTCTAGTTCTTAACTTGATGCCTACTGGACAGTATATTTGGTTCTTCAGAGTTCTGGCTCTGGGACCAGACTGCCTGCGTTTGAACTTTCTTTGCTACTTGCTAATGTGTGAACCTGGTGCATTACTTAACCTCTCTGTGGCTCATTTTCCCCATCTGTAAAATGGGAATAGTAATAGTACCTACTTTTCAGGGTATGGTGGGGATTATACGTGGGTTAGTATAAGTAAAATGTTTAGAGTGGTACCTGGCAATAGTCAGTGTTTAATAAATGTCAGCGGTCATTACCATTACTGAAAGATCCTGCACCATCCCATAGACTGGAATGAAAAGCCTCTATTATCACATCTCACATTACTCATCTATTTCCATATGGTCTCTTTTCGTAGACCAGGCTTTGCTTATACCTGCCATAAGTGCACTATAGTGCCCTTCCTGTGCCTGTGCTAGACATGGCATGTTTTCCCTTTGAGGAAAACCATGCCTTCAGCATTCTGCTCAAAACAGCCCTCCAGGCAGCCTTTGCCAGGCATTCAAGGTAAACCGATTTCACTAGATCATGAGCCCATCAAGGGCAGGGATTGAGCCTTATTTATCTTTGTAGAACCATAACCTGGTATGCTCCTTGGCACATCAGAGATGTTCCCTCACCCAGTGGTTTTTGGACTGAACTGAGATACCCTAATAGAAAAGTCTTTTGCTTAAAAAAATTATAAAAAGTAAGCAAACACCCTTTAGTTGCATCATTGTCCCGGAATATAACTTACTCGTACAATAGTAGTGTCATTACTATCGCATCTATTCTTCAGAATTTCCAGAACTTTCCCCAAGCCATGGATTACTCCCTTGTCAGTGGCTACATTGGTGTAGTTTATTGGAGCCTCATTTACATAGAGCTGTGAACAAAAGGATTAAATGTGATTTTTTATTATATCGATTTTAAGAAAGATGGGGAAGATGGGTACTGGAGGTTACCAATATGACAACAGCCTAGGAGATGTTCCAGTATGTCACCTTGAAGGTAGGATGATGTAGCAGAATGAGCTCTGGACTAGGAGAGGGGAGTCTCAGTAATAGCCCTGCCTCTGGCACCATCTTGCTGTGTGACCTTGGGCCAGTTGCTTTCCCTCTCTGAACCTCAATTTTCTCTTTTGTAAAAGGAAGAGGTTATTCTATATAATCTCTAGGGTATCTCTCTATCTTTCAACCTAATTGGTTTAAGTTTGTTTGAAGAGTTTGTTTCTCGTGATCATTATGTAAGTGCCCATTGGCAAGATGGCTCCATGGATGTGCTCAATTATGCTAGAGACAGGTGGTCCTCGAGGAGTTAATGTCTTTCATCACTAAGACACAGAGAATGCAGCTTTTCCTTTCAGCACGTCTCTACTTCGTGGTTAATTTGCAAGCAAACCTCAGAAAGGCTAAATGACAGCTACGCAAGAATAAAAATAATTAGATAAGAATTTAAAAAAATGGTATGTTTGGATTGTCTTAGCCTAGTGTGCCATAAGCATCCAAGACATGAGGACAAAGTCAGTATCTAGATGCTGCCGAGTCAAATTGAATTTTGAATTGTAATTTGTTTTGTTTTGATTTTTTTAGGGAAGGATACTTTAATGATTAATTAATGAAAAATGAATGAAGTCATTCATGCATTCATTAATGCTATGGATTGAATTGCGTCCTCCAAAGTTCCAGGTATTAGAAACTTAACCCCCAGTGTGACAGTGTTAAGAGGCCAGGAAGTCCTATTAGGATAATTGAAACATGGGGCCTTGAAGAGGTGATTAGATTTGAGGATCAAGCCCTAGGGAATGGATTAATTTATTGATGGTTTAATGGTGGTCATGGGCACAGTTCTGATGGCTCTAAAAGGAGAATGAGTGAGAAGGTTAGTCTCTCTCTCTCTGCTCCTGCCATTTTTGTCATGTGATACCGTGTGTTGCTGTAGCGTCACCACCAACAAGGCCATTACCAGTTGTGTTCCATGGACTTTGAACTTCCCAGCCTCCAAAATTGCAAGCAATAAGTATTGTTTCTTTACAAATTACTCAGTTTCAGGTATTTCTGTTATAAGCAACAGGAATGTACTAATATTAACATAAATACAACTGGAAACAAATGGTTTTTAGAAATATTGGGGTGATATATGCACGCATGTGTGTGTTGGTGTAGGAGGGCTGAGGTTGGAAGGTGGGGGAGACTTTTGTACTAAGCAGATACCAAGTTAGTGTCTATTAGGCCTCACAATCAGCTTAGCATAAGCACAGCCATGTTAACCGCTTCCTCACCCTGCCCCCTGCCCCCTTCCTTTCTCTTAAGCAAAGTGCTGTCTGAGTAAAACTGGATTCTGTTCAAAACAAAATCTTGTGCAAAACAGGAAAACTGCAGAGCTGTTACAAAGTGCTGAATGCTCAAAATAGCTACCCAACTCCTTCCCTTAATTCAAACCCTGTAAGTCCTCTATTAGTCTGTACGGGGGCGGGAACTGATCTTTCAGTCTCCCCTCCAGGTTTGCTGGAAATAAACTCCCTGATGGGGTAAGTGTTTGGCTTGGAGTCCTTTGATCCCTTTCTTTCACTGACCTAACGGTATCCAATAAGGGTTTAATATTCATAAAATAAATTGTAAATTAACATTTCCAGCACTACCTCCTGCAGCAGTATTAAAATGTCCTTACTAAGTGCTTAACTTTAAACTTCCATTGAGTGTTAAAGTCACTTATGATTTACTTTCAGGCAGATGAATTTCCATTTGGGTGTTGAGATCAATCATGAGCTCTACAGAGGTGTATCAAGGTCTGTGTACATTTGGAAAACTAGCAGGAAACCTCACTTAATCTCAAATGGTGATTATAACACAAATTTTCAGAATTCTAAGATGCCGAACTATTTTTAAATGCCCAAATAGCAGGACTTTTGATGTTGTAATACTGTTCATTTGGCATTAAAAGAGTCTAAACTATTTCCATTGTGAGATGTATCCAGAGAATTGTGGGTTACATTAAAATTTTGATTCGAACACGTCTAGTCATTTAGAATGCATCTTTCTGTACTTATATTGTTATAAGAGAAAGTAAATTTGTATCAATAAAAGCAAAGCCACCATTGTATGAATAATGCTTGCTCGAGATCAAGGAACTTCTGAACAAATGGAAAATGAATGTTACACGCTGGAATTGATTCAACTAACTGCCTTGGAACATTCACCTTCACATGATGAAATAAAAGATGACAGACAAAGAGTAAAACAAAAATGAAAGCTCTTTATCAATAACGTAATTGCTATTCCTGGAAAAATAAAATGTATTTAAAAGGGTCTTCTCAAAGTTATTACACAGTAGGTAGAATTATTTGTAGATGTCAGAGAAAAATATTTGGAGTTAGATTATTCTTTAAGTAATGAAGAGTCAGAGAGACTTTTTTTTTCTCCAAGCAGATAAAAAAATTTTATGTAAAAATTTACTTGTGATTCATTGATTTGTACCACTAGAGAAATTGTTTTTAAGATTACACTTTCTGGTATCAAATAATACTATTGCTTAAAAATTTCTGCAATTAAACATTTATTTTAATATAGTGCTTAGTGTCTTTCAAATAATAATTTGTTTTTATTAATTTTTCTTATGAGAATTTACATTAGAATTACATTGCAAGTTTCTTGTTGAATTTTCATAGATTGATCTTTTTATCTGATATTTGAAATATATGAATAGAATGTTACATTTGAAATCTATTATTTATTCTCACTAATTCTTTTTTATGAATTCTGACCACTTTTAAATATTTAGGTATTATGTGAGATAAATATTGGAATACCTGTGTGGTGGTCAGTTGGTCCTAGGACTGCAGTGTCTATGATTATGCAATGATAATAATGTTAATTCATTTGGCTGCTGGGTCCTATATATGTCACCTGGCTCCTTATGCTCTGGAGCCAATGCCACTTCCTGGGAGTTAAGCTGAGCTGTCAGGAGACGGCTTCCTTCTTTCTTGGAGATCACTTGGGAACTGTCAGTTATGTTTGTCGTACCAGGGCTGAAGGGCGCCTATAACAGCTAGTGTTCAAATACGACAATCTGTAAGGCTACCTGGTTACCTGAAGGCTGGGAACAGGGAGGGCGAGTGGGAGCTTGAGAATCCGGCTTAGCCATTACTTCATGGAGAACACAGACAACTGCCTTTTGCTGATGAGGCATAGGAAGCACTTGTGAGGTTATTCCAATAGGAAGTGATGATGGATTACAGGAGCTAAGACACTCGATCCTGGATTTTAAATATGAGACTCGCACCTGATCATTGCGGAGAAAGAAGCCGAGGAGGTAGGAGAAGCCCAGCATGGTCTCCCGGTGCATGCCATTGTGCAGGTCATTCTTCAGGAGTTTCTCTTCCAGGACCACGTGATACTGGAGTATGTCCTCCTCCTGGACCACACACAGAATTGAAAGTCAATCAGCAGACTGGTCAGTCAGTTACTGGGCTTCTCCCATGTGCCAGCACTGTGGGGATTATGAAGACAAGGCTCCCTGCCAGGCCCTGCCAATGGATAGTGCCAGAGAGACCCTGAGGCTGGAGGGGAAGGAGGGATTTGCTCCTTATGCCCATCGGCATCTCCCCAGACTCACGTCTCCTCCCTGGCAGTGGCCGCTAAATCCAGATGGCAGTTTCTGACCACTCACAGAGCCAGAGCCAGCCTTATTCTTCCAACCCCACTCCCGGGACACCAGCCCTCCTAGAGGCCTGGGGGTCGGGTCCACAGGGCCCCTTCTGCAAGCTTGCAGACACCAGCTCCCCTCCTCAGAGGTCTGAGTCTCAGCTCTGGGGCTCCTCCTCTAAGTTTCCATAATTCTCACCTCTTACCTTTGTTCTCCCAGCCTTAGGGGTCATAGATGCTTCCTGCAGTTGTTACCACTATGGTGTCTCTCTCTCTCAACCCTTTAGTTATATTTATATAGCTTTATACCCAATAAATAATTCATACTATCAAATTCTCTCTGTTCAAGTAACTGGTACAGTTTCTGTCTCCTGACGGACCCTGATGGACCCAAGGACCAGCCCTCTCTAGCTTCCTGCCTGCACAAAGCCCCACCATGGAGCTGTGAGGGAAGAAGAATTAATTTTAAATCCAATTCAAAACGTTTATTATTACAGGGACTGAATTCTGTTTTTTTTTTTTTTTTTTTTTACTTTAATTGAGACTATATTTGTGACTTAAAGTGACTCTAGGACTTTTGGGGAAGCAGAAAGCCTGTGAGACTGCCTGAAGTTTCACACTGGGACAGGAAACGAATATTCCCCACTGAACAGGTTTAAAGGAAGGGGGTGACAAGGTAAAGATGATTTCCGATTCCCTCCCAGGAGTCCCATCTGTTCAACATGCCTGGCACAGAAGTTTAAGACATCGTCCCTGCCTTCACGGAGTTTATCATCTAGTTGGAGAGCGCAGACCCTCCCCTTGAAAAGTCATTTCGTCATCTCAGGGGGATATGATAGTGCTCCAGAGCGTACGTGGCGAGAGCGCAGAGGCAGGAGTGAGCATCTGCAGCTCGGGTGTCCGGGGCCAGCTCCCCTGAGGAGGTGGGTCTGGACACGAAGGACAAATAGGGAGGATTCAGGAGGAAGCGAGGAGGGAGGGAAGCCTCCTGGTTGAGAAGGGGTGTGTGTGTGTGGATAAGAACAAAGGCGCCGAACACATCTTTGGCATGTTTGGGGTTTGTGAGACCATCAGTCTGGTTACACCACGTGGTTTCTTGGAGCACTGGTGGGAAATAGCAGTGGCCCAGGGTGGCTTGGGGCGCTTAAAGTACCCGTCCCTATCTCATTAGCACCTTCGTCTCAGCCACCCCGTGAAGACAAATGAAAACAGCGTGCTTGCTCTGCAAATCCTCTTCCCAACGTGCCCTCTTGTATGGAGCTGGGGGTGGGGCAGCCCTGGGCCCCTCCTGTGTGAACATTCTGGCATCACCATTGAATATACCGTAAATTGTGGCCAGTTTATGGAGGTTTTTAACTACCTGACTTAGCCCTGCAAAATATGGAAACTACCAAAGGGTTTTAGGCCAGAGAGCAGCATGATTGAGCTTTTAAATTAATTCACAAAGCCCTTTGACAGACTTTGACTGTTTATCCCCCAGTGTTAGGAATCAGGGAAAATAGAAATGGGGGAAAGAGGAGGAAGGAAGAGACGATCCACCACTCTAGGTTACTGCTGCTGACACCTCAGCTGCTTGGGACCAGGGAGAGGCCAGGGTGGAGGGGTGACCGTGATAGTCCTTCAGGATCCTGGGATGCCTGCATGCTTGTGCATATGGGCCCGAGTGTGCAATTCCGGGTTCTCACTACACATATAGCAGTTCTGGCATGCAGGATGCTATGGGTTAAATGTGTCCCCCCAAAGTTCATGTATTGGAAACTCAATCTCCATCGTAACAGTGTTAAGAGAGTGGGAAATCCTATTATGATAATTGTAAGTTGGGGCCTTCAAAGGTGATTAGACTGTGAGGACTGAACCCTTGTGAATGGATTAATCCATTAATGGTTTATTAGGTGGTGATGGGTGTGGTTATGTTGGCTTTATAAGGAGACTGAGTGAGAAGCTTAACTCTCTCTTGCTCAGCCCATTCTTGCCATGTGACACCCTGGTCTCCGCAGGACCCTGTAAAGAATCCCACTAAAAAGAGCGCTCTCACCAGGTGCACCCCCTGGACTGTGGGCTTCTCAGCTTCTGAACTGTAAGAAATAAATTATATTTCTTTATAAGTTACCCAGTTTCAGGTATTCTGTTCTAATCAACTGATCCAGGGGAGGTTTGTGTATGGGAGTCTCTGTATGAGTCTATATCAAGTATGTGGATATTTACAAGGAGGTTTTGATGAAAGAGTGAAATGGCACATGACTGATGGGTTGAAAATGCTGAGTGTTTGAATTTTCAGAAAATAACGTCCGTGGTTATTGTCCCTGACACCTACTAGAGATGTGACCTTCTTCTCCCTGATGTAATTCTCAATGGCGTCGTTGCTTGGGGCAAACACTGTGTAAGCATCGGCAGCCTCGATTGCGTTCGCCAGATTATATTGCTGCGATGGAAAGAGATAAGAGCACGTGAGGGATTCCCATTCCCAGGTAACCTGAGCAAGGTGGTCATGCAGAGAACGTGGTACTTGCAATGACGTAGCCCCGGAAGATGGAATAGTTGGGCATCTGCTCCAGCCGGGTGAGCAGGTTTGGTAAGGAGCCAGTTAGACCTCTTTGGGGGACGAGCACCTGGGAAAGGAAACCCCAAAATTCTGTTAGCATGTTTTGGTAGGACTTGCTGCTCACTGATACATATGAAAGTCCTGTTAACCTCTTTAGACAGTTAAAGGAACTGACCTTGACATGTTTTGAAGATTACTCAAAGAATAAAAAGAATCCGGAGTGCAGAGTGATAAGACTGGAAGGGACTTGGAGATGTTACTGGTTCAGTTTTATGTCTTGCCCTTAAACCTCCCCAATGAGAGAAAATTTCATCTAACACAAAAGACTTCACAACTCCCCCTGAGTAATCTATCACTAGTAATCAATCTACCCTGTCAGAGAAGACCCTGCAAATCTAACTGCAATGCAACAGGACACAGCTAAAATCCATTTTCTTGGGTCTTGTTCTTTAGTTTATTCTTCGAGTTCTTCATTTCTTTCCTCAGAAGTGTTAAATCTGTTGCAATCCACTATTCTGAATCTGGTTTGTAAAACTCTTTTATTGGCTCTGCAGTGTAATAAAAATAGAGCATCTTTACACAAAATTTTAGATCTCCTACTGCTTTTAAAAACACCAGCCTGCATTCCTGCAGACAACATACAGCTGTAGAGAACAACAGCAGCCACTTTCATTACAGTCCCCACCACTCTGTAATGCCTCCCACCTGGTTCTCCTCACTTGTCATCTATCTGGTCTGTGTGGGAACTTGAGTTTGCAAGCTCTGCATGATTAACCTTCTGGCTGAGATAATGGTCTCCATCTTCTCAGCCTACCTAGACTCTTCTTAGATTGAAGAACTCAACACTGGAATGGTTTGCTAATTCAGTCTTTAACCAACATTTATGGAGTGCCTACTACAGGCTGGGAAATGGGTATACAAATGTCATTGAGGCCTGGTTCCTGCCCTCAAGGAGCTCACAGCAAATTACAGCAGGTGGCCCGATCCAGTCTGCTGCTCCTATTTGAAAATAAAATTTTATTGGCACACAGCCATGCAAATCTGTTTACATATTGTTTAAGGCTGCTTTTATGCTATAATGGCAGAGTTGTGTAGTTGTGACAGAGACCACATGACCTGCACAGCCAAAGATTTGTTTTCTGGCTCTTTAAAGAAACATTTTGCCAACTCCTGCATGATACATTTCTGAGTTTTTGGAGCTGAAGCGAGAAGAGAGGCTTGAGATGATTAAATGGGGTTTGGCAGATTTGAGAGCTATGAGGCGATGGTCTGATAGAACTTGATGGTTCTACGTCCATGGCACATAACCATATGCGATTGTGAGGCCACTAGTCCATACCGTGTCTCTGCACATTAAAAATAGGCTCCCCTTTTTATAGGGGTTAGTAAATGCAAACAGGGGTGCACAGCATGGGAGCGAAGTGTGCTGGATTTTAGCTCCACTCCACCCTTTGGCTGGGCACCTTTATCCAGGGGACAACCTGCACAACTGTACATGATTGCCCCAACAAAGGTGACCATGATGCCAATAGACAGATATGCAAAGAACTGCTTAGGGAGCCAGTGTAACCCTGAGGCAAAGCAGAGAACTTCAATCAGTTGACCCCCATCTGTGAATCTTTTGTGTTCACATAACATCTTCCTCAACCCATTTACTTAACCACGAGGAGCCTCAGTTGTCCCATTTGTAAAGTAAGGACAATTCTTAGGGTTGTTGTAAAAATCAAATGAAATAATGCAGTACGTGATTTTTGGCACAGTGCCTGGCATCTAGTGGGTCCTCCAAAATTCCAGTTATTATTGTATGCAAGGCAAGGTGCTTGAATTAAGGAGGAACAGAGAGGACATGCCATCATAGCGGGGTTCAAGATCTATACCAGAAGGTACCACTATCAATACAAGGGACACAGTTATGCCAAATGAGTTCCACACAAAGAAATCCCATGGAATTTCAGAGAAAAGAGAAGGGAATAAAACCAGCATTTACTGAGGGTTCACCAGGCAACAAGAATTGAGAGAGTATCGTTTAATCCTTATAGTGCAAGAAAAAAGAGGCTCAGAGAGGTTATGGAACTAGCCCAAGTTCACACAGCCAGCTAAGTGCCCGAACCCAGATTCTGCATGATTCTAGAACTTATGCTCTTGACATTGTGTCATTGCCAGAGATAACAGGCTGCATGGGTCAGGGAGGGCTCCACAGAGGAGGTGGGACTTCAACTGGCCCCCGTGACAGTAACACTCAGTGTAGAGGATGGGTTGAGTGCCATTCTACTAACAAGGTTGTGTTCATCAACAAGTGTAAGTGAGAAGGACAGGTAAGTTCATGTTTTTATTTTATGAGTTTTTTTTTTTTTTTAGTACTTTGAAAAGCCAAGATTGGGAAAGAAAAACACCCTTAATATTACTTTGCATTATATGAAGTCGTAAGACTAGCACAGTTTCTGGCAAGTGATGAATCACTTGCTCAAAAATGTTGGGTTTCTTAATGCCTCTTGGTAATACAGGACAACTGCAAGGTCTTTGCAAAGTAATGTACCCAGGAGTCTTACAAATAGCCTCTCTTTTCTGAGTGGAAACAGTTGACCTTTTCTGTAACTTAGAATAAAAAAGTGAGTATATATGAGCCACGTGAGAACAATTTTGGTTAAAAAACAATTTGTTAATTGTTTTTTTCCAATCTTCCACCTTCCAGAAATTCCCAATGTACTCTAAATTCTAACTTTCATTTAAAATAAAGATCCTAAAATAGTAACTGAAAATTATAAGGTAGCTTACATCCCCACTTCCCATATTGTTTTTTTCTATTTTATACCTTTGAATACTGGTGAATTGGGTCTTAGAAGAAAATGAAAATTTCACAATACTTTTTCTATCCTTTTCCATTTTCCCCTGGTGTCTTCCCCACCTCATCTTTTTAGGGTACAATAATGCAGAGAGGGAAGAGGAACGGTGATACATAACCACTCGCCTCTCCTCCAGTGTTTGATTATATCCCATCCGGATGAATGGACTTCCCAATGCTAGGGTGCTCGTGTGCCTTTAGACATAGACAGGAAAGATAATATGTGTGACCACACCTGACATAGGGTCTGCTGCAGAATACAGGCTGAGTAGACGGTAACTGAGTCTGGTTGAATAGAGAGAGCCTCTAAATGGTTTTAAAATAGAAGTAATGGAGCACAATACATGTCACTTTTGTATTAAGGCTAAGTGTCTTTATTTCCTAAACAAGACACTGTTTAGGACACCCTCCTTCCATAGGAGGATAAATGACAAAGGGAAAGAGGTGCTGCTTTGTGGAGGGTGGAACTGTACCTTGTCGATGATGTGTATCACTCCATTCGTGGCTGCATTGTCACCATCGATGATGGATGCTCCTTCAATTGTGATATTCTGTAAATGCAAACACAGTGGGAAGGCGAGTCTCTACAGAGTACCCCTAGGGGTCGAAATTTTCTCTGGGTTTTCCATTTTTTGAGTAGCAGTGCCCTCTATACTTTTGGGCCATGACCCACAGTACCACAGTAAGAAATACCTTTAAGTTGTGATCAATTCGACATCACACACACACACACACACACACGCACGCACACACACCTGAAATAAAACAGTACTTTCTCATAAGATGTGGGAGGTACTCTGGTCATCAGTTCTATCCCACACTGTTCTATTCCATTAAAAAAGGGCTGGTTGAGGCTCATTAAAGTGACCCTGCAGTTGTAAATACACTGTAGGCAGCGTTGTGGGCTAAATTGTGTCCCCCTCCCCCCACAACTTAGATGTTGAAGTCCTAACTTCCAGAACCTCGAATGTGACCTTATTTGGAAATAGGGTCTTTAGAGAGGTGATCAAGTTAAAATGAGGTCCTTAGGGTAAACCTAATATCCAGTATGAATGGTGTCCTTATAAGAAGGAGACATTTGCACAGAGACAGAAGCACAGGGAAAACGCCAGGTGAACATGAAGACAGCCATCTGCAAGCCAAGGAGAGAGCCCCTTCCTCCATAGCCCTCAGGAGGCACCACCCTGCCCCACCTTGATCTTGGATTTCAGCTTCCAGAACTGTGAGAAAATAAACTTCTGTTGTTTAAGCCCCTCGGTCCATGGTAGTTTGTTATGGCAGCCCTAGCAGATGAATACAGACTGTAACTGACTTTCCTGGTGAGAATCCAAGCACTTATTAAGAATATTAACTACACCAGGAATGGAGCCAAGTAAAACCCAACCTACCCACCTGTGCAGCCACCAACCAACAGCAACTGGCTCCACTGTCTCTGGCTTGATTGATTTATCTTTGAATCTATAGAGCCTAGGATATTATATTCCCTCACAGGTGGGTGTTTAGTTAATGCTTGCTAAGAAAATCAACGGTTGAAAACACCAATGGATTAGCATGGCTGTAGCAATCATTTCTCAATGTATATGTATATCAAAACATCATGTTGCACACTTTAAATATACACAATTTTTATAAAAAAATTTGATAGAAAATAACATCAACATCACCAAAATTACCATAACAAGATATTTAAAAAATATCCATGGGACCACATGTAAATGTTTTCTGCTTTCTAAAAGGAATTATCTGATGAGCCACATGTTTTATGTAATTTTAGGCATAGATTCTTCTCATAGTGCTCTCACCGATGAGCAGGAAGGTAGGAATGCTTTAGAGCAGCAATTCTCAAACATTTTTGACTGTGGCCCATGGTCCACTGATGTAGCAGTTCTCATTTTCCAGGAGAATCTTTATTCTTGTCTTGTGCAATTCCTAGAAAGAGCTTTAAAACACTGCCACATGCAGCAGGTCAGCCAGACTTCCTCAAGGAATTCTGAATCCGAGTCTCTGTCACACTGCAAAAAGTTCCAGAGCTTCTCCGGGGCTCGGGTCATCCTTGGGCACAGCCCTATCCCAAGCACCTAGATCCATGCCTGGCACATAGTAGTTGCTCAATAAATATTTATTGGCTGATGATTCTAGCTTAATACAAAATTTTAGTTATCTATAATGACTCAATTAGTAGGTTACTAGTAACAAGTTCTTAGTTAACTATACATCGAAATAAAAGCTGTGGAATTGCAAATCTTTCACCCTTTCTGGACCAGTCTGGATCTGTCAGGAGGAGCCTTGTGGCCAACAAGTGGCATGAGTATTTCAAAAATGTGTTCCGTGTGATTCTGAAGTGCAGTCAGGGTTGGGAATCACTGCTCAGGAAAATCACCCTCCCCCTTCTTACCAGCCTCTTTTTCCACTTTCTATTATATGCATTCCAAATTTCTAAAATTATAAACATTCCCAATCTTGAAAGTGGGAAGATGGCCATATTTTATAGAACCACTGCTACAGAGTAGTGTGTGTGTGTGTGTGTGTGTGTGTGCGCGCGCGCACGCATACTGATGTATGTTGATAATTGTTGCAGCTGTGTGATGCCCTCATTGGAGTTTGGTTTTATTTTTGCATGTTTGGAAATTTCCACAACAAAAGTTTAAAAAGTACATATGAATAAAGGTGCCATGTTTCAACTAACAAACAACAGAGCTGTCTTACCCCATCCACCTTAGCCAGGTGAAGGAAGTTGCCCTGCAAAGATGTTGCCAGCATGTCAGAAGATGACAGGGTCTGCAGATCTGCCACTCCGTATGTGCCTAGTAACGTATGGTATCTAAAACAACAGTCCATAAGGGATATAATTAAATATCAATATAGGAGGAAGTATCATTGAATAATTAAGAGAATAGGCTCTGGAGCCAAATTAACATATTCAAACTTCAAATTCCCTCTGTAATCAGTCTTGGCTTGAGTTAGTTACTTAACCACCCTGTGCCTCAGTATCCACACCTATAAAAGAGAAATAAATATACCTATCTCAGGGTTGTTGAGAGGATTCACTGAGTTACATGTAAAGCAGTTAGATCAGTGCTCGGCACAGAGCTGGATGTCACTGACTGCACACTATTACTGTCCTGGGGGAGAAAGCAGGGAGAATCCTAGAATACACTCAGTTCTGTGGATTTGAAGGACCATGTGGCTTCCCTACATTGAACTTCTAAGGTATGTTCACACTGGTGTCAGTCAGATATCATGAAGAATAAAATAAATAATACCTACTTTATTAGGGCTGGAATATTGCTCTGTGACAACCAAAAGGTTTTCTCCTCTTGGTCCAGGTCCGCGATAGCTTGTTGGGAGGGCACAAGGATGGTGAGGTTTGAGGCAGCTGACAGCATGGGTTGTAGAGAAGCATTCTGGATCACAGAAGGAGAATAAAGTGACCCGACTCATGTGGGGGGACAAACGGGGCTGACTTAAATGCTTGGCAGAAATGACAATGTTCCATGTGATGTAATTTCAGGGATACTGGGAAGGACCCGTTCCTAGGGTCTCCTTTCCCAAATCCACCCCAGCCATTGGCCGATGCCTCATTTTCCCTTCTGAAAGTCATTCCTTTCATTAAAATTTGTGAGTCTTATAAAAATGCAAATTTTTCTGGTCAGTCACACTTTGAGGTGTTCTAAGTCCTTTACACTTTAGTCTAGATGAAGAGCCAGGGAAATAATCTTGATGGGATCCTATGCATGTGTGTGTGTGTGTGTGTGTGTGTGTGTGAGGAGAACCTTGAGAATTCTTGGATGTCTGCAGACTGCAGAAACAGTTTCAGCATGGTAGAAATCAAGGCCTGCAATCAAATTTTATATTTGATTCTTGTTTAGAGCCAGTTTCAGATAGGAGAAAGGGCATGCTTATGTTTAACAACTGGATTTCCAGGGAAAACAAAAGCCCCAGTGTGTAGCATTTGCTTATTTCTCTGGTGTAAATACTCTGACTTGGACTGACTTCAAGCCACCAACATGACAGTGCTGAAAGTGGAGTTGGGAAAAGACGCGCATAGTCAGCTCTTGTGAACTAGGACGGGCTGAGCCCAGCACACCACCAGGCAAGTGTATGCATGTGGGGTAAGGCCAAGTGTGATTAGCCTCCATGGACATCAGCATGCTTCAGAGAGGATTCAGTCTCTTCTCTGCTTGTGGGGTGAGGGGAGATTCAGAGAGGCCCCATATACAGGAGCAACAGGGAGCTGTCCTGGAATGGGTCCTGACCAGGCATGACCTATCTCAGCATGTGTCTACTTAAAGTGGATAAAGCATTTGTCATGATGGTTGGCTGGGCCGGCCACTTTGGTCCATTCAACCAAAGAGGACAGATATTTAGATAACTGGGTAGGATGGGGATTGGATTCTTTGTTATAACACTTTCCAGGGGTGAGAGATAAGCTCTTCTGGGCATGTTGGGCTGAGAGTTAAGCACACATAGAGTATCCCAGATTCCAGCTACAAATCCAAAATCTAGCTTGGCGAATTACAATGCCTTATGCTAACTAAAAACAGACAAACAAACAAACAAACTCTGTGATTAATGAAGCTATACACATATATCTGAGTTGACCAAAAAGTTGACCACCCCAGCTTACCCTAGACCCGTTCTCAGCCCTGGGTGCGTGTTAGAATCCCCTGGGAAGCTTCTAAAATACACTGATACCCAGGGCAAAGCTCTGACCAATCAAATCAGAGTCTCTGGGAGTGGAAGCCAAGGCATGAGTATTTCAAAAATGTGTTCTGCGTGATTCTGAAGTGCAGTCAGGGTTGGGAATCACTGCTCAGGAAAATCACCCTCCCCCATCTTACCAGCCTCTTTTTCCACTTTCTATTATATGCATTCCAAATTTCTAAAATTATAAACATTCCCAATCTTGAATTGCAACGAAGGTACTCACATTTATCCACTGGTTAAATATAGCTGCTTCGGAGAGAAATGACAATTCCTTATTCATGCAGGTGCAAGGCAGGGAAGGAGAGATGGGAGAGAACACAGGAGAAGGAGCAATGAGAAGTGTAATCGCAGCGCATCTCTGGGCAGCCTGCACTTTGTGTTCCTGGGGCTGGGCTTGTTTCCTTGCCAGCCTTGCTGATGCCGACATGAATGGGTGCCCCAGCTAGCTGAGTTTCCACGTTGCTGGAGCTGTGCATTGCTTTCACGCTTAGGAGGCTCGATTATCTTCTATATTTTAGATAATGAAGTAATTCCAGAAACTTTAAGAGAAGCAACAACCTAAAGTTCTTCCAAATCATAATGTAGGTTGTAAGAACATGTCTGCCCAGACACTAAGGAGGGTCACAAGGCTCAGCAAATAGCCCCCTTTCAGAGCCCGTGTTGAGTAGTGGCTCAGAGCATGGAGTCAAACCACTTGGGTTTTCATCCTGGCTTGGCCATTTTCTAGTTCTTTAGGTCAGTTATTTAATGGACCTCAATTTTATCATCTGTAAAATGGGGATATAATAAAAGCTCCAACCCATAGGGGTGATGTGAGAAATAGAGGAGTTAATGTTTTTAAGGTGCTTAGATTAGAGGCTGGCACAGTAAATTCTCAATAAGTTCTAGCTACTCTTAATTTATCCACCATGGAATTTGTTAATCAATAAACATATATATTCAGCCACCACAATTTGCACTGGGGTGGAGTGAGAGAAGGTATAAGATATGAAGAGGAAATGATGGAACATGACTTACAGTTCTGGCAAGTTAAGACTTGACAAGATAACCCACATTGCCATTAGATCAGTGACATTTGAAGGTGTGATAGAGCAAAATAAAGCTGGGCTTTGAGTTAAAAAAGACTGGGTTCCATTCCTAGGTCTGCCATTTACTGGCTGTGTGACCTTGGGCAAGTCACTTAACCTCTCTGAGAACTCAGGTGCCTTATCTGAAAAAGGGAATATAATGAGGCCTTTCCCCTGGGATGATGAAAAGTAAGTGCATTAATGTATGTGAAAACATTTTTAAACTATTAAATACCACAAAATGGCAATAACAATTATTATATGCAAATTTACGTAAAGACAATAAATCTCAGTGCTTTGTCAACTCCTTTTTGAAAAAAGTTGAGGTTATGAAATAAGTTAGCAAATACGATGCCTGTTAAAAAGCAAATTAGTGTGTAAACGAATAAGTACAAGAGCTGAGATGCTTGAGGAATCCGTGAAGGGGATGCTTTAAGGGAGAGAAGGGTGTGAGTTGGACCTGAACTGATGTCAGAGAGGCCAGGGGCAGGGCCCAGGGAGAGAGGAACGTGGCCGGGCATGGAGCTGGGAAAGCGATGGCCATGCTGGGGGTAGGCTGTTTGGAAGAAAAGTGAGTTGAGCCTGTGTGGACACGCCTGGAGTACCAGGCCTAGGATTTGGACTTGTTTTTCATGGGAGGAGAGGGACACTGTGAAAGCAGGTTTTAGGGTTTTAGGAAATGTGGCCCATGGCTAGTGCAGGGAAAATGTTGGTGTCTATGCTCCATGGTCTGGGTATCAGGAGCGAGCTCAGCGGCCTGACGCGGTGAGTGGAAGAAGCTGTAACAGTGAGAGGGGAGGGCGGGCAGGGCCCTGCAGGGGCAGGGGAGGCCGAGGTCAAGTGCTGCAGGCCACCCAGGCCAACAAGCCTTGAGCGAGGCTCTTCTTTGGGCAGGTTGCAAGTCCTGGGGCATTGTTAGGTCAATGGTTTCAGCTGAAAGGGGGGCAGAAAACCAACTGCAGTGACTCAAAGAAAAGTTTAAGTGATGAGAAAATTTGTCAATTGACTTTTTTTTCTCATTTTGATAAATATTTATAAGCAATGAGAGTGACATAGGAAACAAGACAAAGACCTTCCCTCACGAGTTTCTAGTCCATTGCTGGGGGAAGACAGACAAATGTAGATGCAGTGCCCACTTGGTGTGACCCATACTGCACAGACAGAATGCGCCAGTGGCTAAGCGTTTGGGCCGTGCACTTAGACAGCTATGGGCTAGATTCTTCGCTCTGGAGCTGAGGGACTGTAGGCGAGTTTGCTCAGCCTCTCAGTTTCCTCATCTGTAAAATGGGCATAATAAATGGCATCAACCTTAGTATTAAACTTTGTTGTGAGGTTTAAATGGGGTGCTGTGCATATGAAGAACTTAGTATGAGGCCTGATACACAGAAGGTGCTCACCCACATACACACACAGATAGGGGTGAGCACAGCGTGCTCTGAGTACCCGTAGGAGGGGCGAAGCCTAGACGGGAGAGCCCAGCAGAAGCCAGTTAGTTGCTCATTTGGGAAGTTGAGGAATGAAAAGAGGTAGAGGGTCAAGAAAGAGATCAGAATGGCTTGGTATACAGAAGGCGTCAAATAAAATTTAGTTCCCTTTAGCCTGTAGAACATGTGTGACCCCTAAAGCAACAGCTGGAAGCTGCGAGAAGCAGCTTGCTTCATAGAAAATCTCCTGGAGGCAATGATCTGTCGACAGAGCACTTTAAAGGCGTCTTAGCTAAGAGGTTTTTCTCCCTAAGGATTTTGTCTTCTTTCTCCTGTAATTGAGTTCATCCTAGGTGACTTACCACTGCTGCATTTCCATAGCACAGAAGGCCATCTCCGTCATAGCCCTCCTGACAAACACAGTTCCAGACACCAGAAGAAGTAAACTGACAGGTTGCCTGTTAGAACCAAGATGAAATAAATGGTTTGGTTTGCTAACTAAAGCATTAAACCCAAATTACATCCATGAGGCAACAGGCTCCATCTAGGCGAGAACTGCACATTTAGGGCTGAAAGATGGGGGAAACAACCTGCAGGCCAGGTGTTGCAGTGAGAGGCTCCCGCCTGCATGTTTGCTGCAGCTCTTATTTTATCACACTTAAATTCTTTCTTTTCATCCCTGCTGGATTTAGCAAATAAAAAAATAAAGAACACACAGTTAAATTTAAATTTCAGATAAATGATGAATAAATTTTAGTATATAAGTTTGTCCCATGCAATATTTGGGACATATTTGTGCTGAAAAATTATTCATTGTGTATCTGAAATTCAAGTGCAACTGGGTGTCTTATACTTATCTGGCCTATGTTGGTTCTTTCAAGCTTTGGAATTAAATGAAAGTTGCAAAAACTACTCACATTTGATAGGTCAGGGCTTGTTTGGGCTTAAATTAAGCAGGAGTGTAGGAGCTCCTTCAGCTTTATGAAATGCTCACGTGATTTTTGGAGAATAGATACTTTGGGGGTGTCTCCCCACCATTTTTCTCCTCTGAGAACTGACCTGTCCACCCCCAACACACATACGAGGGTGGGCCTTGGCAGCCGCGTCCATAACAATCTCACTCCCTGGCCATAACTGACTGGCTCATATGTGGGCACCTGGACTCAGTTGGGCCGATCAGATCCTTTCTCCTATGATTTTGAATTGGGACATGGGTTGCTGATAAGTTAGTGGGCATACCTGGTGGTGGTGGGGGAGTGACGTCTCTAAGAACGGGGAAGCCATTTACCCCAAGATGTGCAGAGAAGCATTAAAAGTTGGGTGAAAGAGAGACAGAGACAGAGAGAAAGTAAATGCACAGAGAGAAGTAAAATGAGAGGTCGCGTAGTCTCAGAGGATTGGGGAAAGAAACTGCCTTGATCCTGGTGACCCTGGTGTCTTGATGTCCTGGTTCTGGGTCCTCAGGAAGTCTAGCTCCACCTCCAGTCTGTGGATTCTCAGAGCTACGCTAGGGGTGCTCCCAACAAATTCTTTTTCTGCTTAAGTTGATTTGCATGGATTCTGTTACTTGTGACCCAAAACACTGTGACTAAGGTGACATCTTCATTGGTTCTGATGTTTGGGGGCTTAGTGATGTTCTTTTAAAAACATGAACGTGACCTGCTCTGTTATCCTTGCCTGCTCTTCCATAATTTAGAAACAAGGGACAACCTACTCCTGAATGGGCATTTTTCATTAATAATTTGGATAATCTCTGTTATGACATTCAAAATGGGAGTCCAGTTACTCTTTAAACAATACCATTGGGAGTCCAGTTACTCTTTAAACAATACCATTGGTTTAGAGTTATCAGATTAAGCAAATAAAAATATAGGATGTCCAGTAAAATTGAAGTCTGAGATAAATTATGAATAATTTTTATTATAAATTTGTCCCATGCAATATTTGTCACTTATTTGTGCTGAAAGTTATTTGTTATTTATTTGAAATTCAAATTTAACTGGAAATTCTGTATTTTATCTGGCAGTCATATGTTGGCTCTTCCAAGCTTTGGAATGGAATGAAAGTTGTAAAAACTACTCACGTTCTGTTTAGGGACTCCCTTTGGGGGTAAGAGAGATTTTGTTCATTACTAGGCCCAGATGAGAAATAACCTAACTTTCTTACTTTCTTAAGCATTTAAAAAAAAAAAATTTAGTAGTGAAAAAAAGTCAGGTAACTCACCAATGGATGACATTTCCCAGTTTGTTCCAAGCATGAAGTTATTGGTTCACAGTCAATCCCATTTCCTCGAAATCCTTTCTTGCACTCGCACTCGTTCTGTAATTCCAAGAACAGAGCCAGAGGGGATGATTGAAAGCAAGTGCCTTCCACACCTTGCCTCCCGTGGCTCTGAAAAATGAGCTATGGAAACCATAGCTGCTTGGCCCTCCTAGAGAACAGCATTAGTGACTTTTGTTTGTTACTCTTTAGATACCTGAGCTGTTAGTGTCCATATTCTACATTCCATTTTCCAATTTGATAGTTCCTTGGTGCTTTCTTTTTGAATTATTTGTCCCTGAAAGGCCTATGGAGACAATCTCAGAGGGAACTTAGACCCTAAAGAGCATCACATTGGAAAAGTTGGCCTTTCTACCTAAGAGGGAAAGGTTAAGCAAGCCATGCGGTATCCACTTGGGGACATTACTAGCCTGTAAGGCACTTTGTTGAATTTAGAAAAGATGTCACCTCTGAGTAGGTGATAGACCACCCACCAGCACATGGCTCTGCAGGTGGACAGCACCTTCATGCAAAAAAAAAAAAAAAAAAAAAAAAA